TTTTGTTAAAGGAGGTTTTAAACCTACACTAATAGTGGAGGTTTTTTTAAAGGAGGTTTTAAAACTATGCTAACTGCAGAGGTTTTTTAAATGAGGTTTTAAAGCTATGCTAATTGCAGAGGTTTTTTTACTGGAGGCTTTGAAGTGGAATAACAGTAAAGATTATTTAGTGGAGATTTTAAAGTAAATTAACTATTACAATCATTAATCAATATATTTTTATGGAGTTTCTAATCCTCCCTATTTTCCTGTGTATAATAATTTTTATACTAATTTTAATTGCATAATCTACATGTATTACAATTTCCCATTTTCACTTTTGATATTTATAAGAAACTTAATGAAAAAAAAATACACATAAAATGGATGAAGAAATTCCATTACTAATAACCAAAAACACAACATATAGTTCACAGATTTATAATTCAAACTTCTATTATAATTTCAAGTACAACATAAAATTCATAACATTGTCAAATTAGCCTCATACTAAACTTTAAATCCAAAATACATTATATGCAAACTAAGGGTTGCTAGCACCAGATGATCCTCTTGCATCCAAAGGTGTATTAGGAATACTTGAAGCATCGTTTGGCTAAAATAAGAAAAGAAAAAACACTCAGTCAAGAAAAATATATATCACAAATATTATAGATAATGATAATTCCAAACACTCATGACTATATTAGCCAAGGACCAAAACAGACCAACCAATTAATGTAACCAGCAACATAACTCATAGTTAAAACTAGAACTATAGACCAACAACTCCATGAAGCCAAAACCATAATAGCAACACCAAACCAGAGATGTGTAGTAGCCAACTAGTTCCCAACCCAATAACCAAGGACTGAGAGTAGTCCATTCAGACTCTAAACAACCAAAACTAGAACTGAACCAACAAAACATCCAGCCAAACCAAAAATTTCAATAGAGTACAAAGCAAAAAAAGTGTGTAATTTTTTTGGGGATAATTGATTGGATTAAAGTTTAAAGTTAGGTAGGAGTTGGGAGTGATTATCAACCAAAGAAAGGAGCTAGTTTTTTTTTTAATTTTTTTTATCAGGTTGGTGTTCTAATACAAACTAGAGTGTTTTGACTGAGGGTGAGTTTGATTTTGCACTATTTGATCCTCGTGTGGTCCATATATATTTATACTGTAAAGCTTAAATTAATCAAAGAGCTGGTAGGAGGAATTTTTTTTCTTTCATTTAAAAAAATGAAAAGATATTGAACTACTATATATATATATATATACAACAATCATACTAAAAATCTAAGTAGATTCTAGTTAACAAAATTAGCAAGTACTAACAAACACATATAAATATAGACAAATATAAACACATATATTTATATAGACAGTATACAATAAATATGACACAAATATTCCACCAAGAGCAAGAGATTATACAGACATTATACAGACGTGAAGAACATTATAAGTATTAAAATATTTTAAAAAAAACTGACTCATAGGAAAACTAATGAGAAAACTTTATCTACTTCGCTTTATAATAAATTAAGGTTCTAAAAGCTCATTTAAGTTTTATGATTGTTACATTCCTTAAGGAGAGAGAAATGAATATATGTAAGAGCCCTTAATTTCTCAAATAAAGGGTAATGAATGTTTGAATTAGTTAAAAATAAAAAATGGAGGAGATTTGGGAATGTGTTGCTAGTAGTAATGATGAGGTGAGAGGGGAATAAAAGGATTGTAGGCAGTGTGGACCATTTTGAATGCAGTGAAAAATGACAGCAATAATTTCATCTCAACTGCTCAACATCTAAAACAAAGGAAACCAATTAAAATCCAAGAGGAATCCTTTTTGTTACCTAAAGTATCAATAAATCTAACATCTACTATGAGTCAGTGCATCATGAATGACAACCAAAACTCTGGTGCTCTCTTCCATGGCATCCCGAATAACAATGGTTTTGGCACGTTGCTTCTATGGATAGTTGCAGGCTTTAAATAAGAGCATCATGACAATTACTTATAGAATATTTACAAAATTATTTGAAAATAGAGTGAAACAAAATTCAGGAAATTTCTTAATTATAGTCAAAAAAATAGAATTTAGCAAAACATGATGAATCAAAGGAACTAGGGGTACAAATACCTTGACTCTTAGATTCTCGGCATCCTGCCCTCCACCGTTCTTAATTCAGGAAACAAAGTCAAATATTTGTCGAATCTGCATGTAAAAATCCAGTGTCAAATATGAAAATCCAGGGTCAAATATGTAGTGTAGTTTTGTCTAGCAGTACTTAAAGTAGAAATTACTTGTATTAGTTTTGGTTGCTTAGTATATTGGTATAATCACTTTCTTGGAACTTAATTTTCCACTTTTCCATGAACCTCTATAACAAAGTATATATTGCAGACATATTTTCTACTATTGTGTTTGAAACAACGTCAATAAAGAAATTGTAGCAATGGTTATCATACTAGTATGCCTGTTAGGGTAAATGATGGGACTGCTGCAACACCCACCTTGTGAACCTGTTTCATAGAAGGATACTATTTTCACAAAATTATCAGGATGAAAAACTAGAAGCTATAGGGTGTACCTTAAGATAGAATGCAACTGCTACAAATACACATCCTGTGACCAATCCCGATCCAGATATCTAAAATGAAATCAAGAAAGAACTATAAGAATATTATACACAAAAAGGATTTCCACTTTTCCATGAACCTCTATAACAAAGTATATATTGCAGACATATTTTCTACTATTGTGTTTGAAACAACGTCAATAAAGAAATTGTAGCAATGGTTATCATACTAGTATGCCTGTTAGGGTAAATGATGGGACTGCTGCAACACCCACCTTGTGAACCTGTTTCATAGAAGGATACTATTTTCACAAAATTATCAGGATGAAAAACTAGAAGCTATAGGGTGTACCTTAAGATAGAATGCAACTGCTACAAATACACATCCTGTGACCAATCCCGATTCCGGGGCCGAGACGGTTGAGGAGACAAACTTGACCAACATAGTTCAATTAATTCGTTAGGTCCGACAAAATTGATACACTTTTTTTCGGATCACTTTTTTTTTTCCAAAGTCTTGGTCATTGGACTATCGACCTAATCCATTAAGACAGAATATGTTAGACACATTTAATTTTTATCATTTTATAAAAATAGTTCAATTTTTATAGTTCAGTACAATTCAACTTTTTAATAGTTCAGCTCAATTCAGTTTTTTTAAAACGATTCAGTTCAATTTTTTTTACAAACAATTCAATTTTTTATAGTACAATTCAGTTTAGTTCGCCACTAATTCTGTTCAGTTCAATTTTTTTTGCCCACCCTTGTCCATGTATAACAATATAAGTCACAAGGATAGTATTAACAAGATATACATTCATAATTAAACATCATCCTTATGTATCCGTACATGTTCAACATCCAAGGCACACTCATCTCAACAATACCAATTATTTTAAGTATGTTCATCATCAACAAAAGCCTTACATTTTATTCAATGAACCTTAATTAAAATTAAAGACTCACGTAATATATACTCTTAAATCTATATACATGTGGTACCAATCTCATGATCAATAATTACAAGGTGGCCTAAGAGTCATGGATTAGATCACCACACACCAGGTAACCATCTCAACTAGGGGTTGTCTATTGGATGTAGTCAAAGCATTACAGTTGGCCATGGTTGCCTCACACCCACTTTAGAGACTCCCTACCATAACACCTCAAGGTTTAGTAGATTATTATAAAGACCCTCTTGCATAGATTCACACCACTACACCAAAAAAAAGTATGCAAATGCATAGACTTTACACACAATAATACTACTCCACAACAAATGCAATGACCAATTTGATGATTTTTCCAAATCGTAGAGTCTAGGCTACAATATATATACTAAAACCTACTTAGATTTCATCATCACTAGTCATAACCTGGACTTATACATGCCATCAACATCACAATATCATCATCATAATACCATCATCATTTATTCATGACACATCATATTGTACACTTAAATTCACACACTTATAATCCTTTCTCATGCCTTACTTTCTTATTTGGATGTTATCACGATTTCTATGTTCTTTATTATCTTATTTTATTTCTAATGTTAATCACTCCTCATGTGTAGACTCCTTTACTACTAAATTATTCTTATAAATGTAATTGATTTGATAGGTGTGGTGCTTGATGAACTAGAACTCATGCGTAGCATGTAGAGATTAAGGACTTCTCTACCATATTCACGGTTAGTGTGGTAATGCATGTGCCTAGCGTGGCGCGGTTAAGAAGCTCTCTACCTAAATTTTGCCTAACATGGTTACTCCATCACCCAAGGTTGTGGAGTTAGGGACCCCTTTAAAACAAAACAACCTAGTGTTATCCAAGTCACACCCATCAAGAAAAAAAAAAGGTTAAATATCATACACTTACAAACCAAAAAGGAAAATTCCTATCAAATGCCATCCTATGTTTTTCAAATTGACTTTTTTTCTCAACTTCAAGGTTTTAATATTGTACATTGTCCTTAGTTTTCATTACTTTAAAAATCTACTTGAGCTTCATTCTATACTATTTTTTTTTTGAACAAATTTATGTCTTTCACACCTAATGCAAAAAGTTGCATTCATTATACCTAACACAATGAAGGCACATTCAATTATGTCGTAGAATCGTGAACTTCGTGGTTTGGATTCTCCCAAAATCCATCCACACGTTCTTTACTTCAATTCAATTGGTAGAACCATCATATTACATTCATATAATAACAACAAATTATCAAAATACTCAAATTCATTTAATTGCATAAGAACCCCCAAAATTAATAACCTTAACCCTCAAATATATCTCAATCATTACCAAATCAACTCAATCATGATTCATATTAAATCACAAGGACACAAATAATATTTCAACATTAGATCACGTACATACTTATTCATAAAAATCAAATCAATAATCTATGAGGCTTAGGGATCACTTTACTATGCATACTCCTTATATATGCTCATAAACTCGATATCCACACTCTCCTTTATCTCAAGTGATGACCTCTATAGCACAAGGACTTCCTTTTGCTACCTCAGTCGCTAGTTCACATGTTCTCTAATTGTTTCCTCTATAGGTTTTAGAATAGACGCTTAAAAATGACTTACCTTTTTTTTTTTTTTAATAAGTTTTCAGGTTAGGCTCAAAAGTCCAACCTAAATCTCCTTTATCCACTTACAGTCCCCTTTTTATTTTATTTAAATAAAACATTTTAATTATATTACTAATCCAATAAATTAAGTTAATTAAGTAAAAAAATTAATTATTTTATTAAGCATTATTTTATTTAATTTTACAAAAAAGGATATTACAACTTACTCCCTCAAATTTACTTTTTACAAACAACTCCAGATATGCTTCCTCAATTTTTCTCTCTAACTCCCACTAGTACTCTCAGGAATAACTCATTTCTATACAACCTTAACTAAAGAAATATCCTTACCTTTAAGTTTTTTAACCATTTTATCATTAACTTTTATCAGTAAAGTCTCAATTGATAAGTTATATTTAACCTCAAGATGATCCGACTCTATCACATGCGAAAGATCATTAATATACTTTTAGGTTGGGGCACATGAAAAATGTATGAAGATTTAACAAGTGTAAAGATAAATCTTTTATTTGGTGGGATTCTCTCCCTAGCTTCTATTTGGAGGGCCTTTTTTCATAACCCTAATGGTTGCCCTTTTTTTCAATTTGCTTAATTTTCTCTGTAGGTTTTGATCTAGTCTCCTTACATTTGTATCCTTTTCTCCTTTTTTAATGTCATTGAATTCGTGGCAAATAATTGTTAAATCTAGGAAGACCAACGTTATTAGGATGTTTAATGTATATAATAATGTCTACTAGCCCTATCTTTATTTAAAAAAATGATACTTTTAATTACGACATAATTTTTAAATCCAAAATTAAATCTAATTCTTAATTAAAAAATACAGTACGTTAAATCACTTGTAATAATAATTAATTATAATTCAACTTCTTTGACCTGTAAAGTAAAACCCTTCACTATTTATTCATTAATTATCTTTGGAGAAAATGAAGGACAACACATTCAAACTTATCTTATCTCGATATCATTTTTAGCATGTATATCTTGACGATTGGGGACTAACTATAGGTAGACTAAGCCATTGTCGTTTGTTTTTACGAAATAGAAATGAATTATCCATATAAGGAACCTCCATTTGAGCAACAAGTGTGTAACAGATGAAACAAAAAATATTACTAAAATCTTGTTTCCTTTTTACATTTATTTCTTAATTAAGTAAAATGAATAAAAAGAGGACATTCTAAAATAAAGTCAAAGGAAGTGAAAAAAAAAGAAAAAGAAGAAGAATCAGACCATCAAATAGTGACAAATAATTAATCATAGATAAGACGACACGTTGATTAGTGAAAACGAATTGATACTACAATTCGACAACAAACATAATCCTAGCTTCTTTTGATTTATTTATTTAATAATTTTCTTGCATATATATAATAATATAATATTTATAGTTTCTCGTTGTCATCGTTACCTCAAAAAGTTAGGTGGGCCGAGTCTACAACCAAATGGTCAATGGAATGGAAAACAATTAATTATTTTAAAATAAACTTGTTTACAAAATACATAAATAGTGATATATATATATATATATATATATATATATATACTCTCAATTAAATTTTAATAAACTGAAGTTATAATATATCTTAAACTAAATTTAGATATAAAATGCGAATCTGACTCAAATTTTTGAAAAACAATTGCTTGATTTTAATAATTTTTCCTTTTTTTCTTAAAAATAAACGTAAATAATTATTTCTCTAAATTTAATATTTACTAATAGAAAGTGGTGATTTTAAGATTTTCCACACACTTGACCCAAGATTCGTACTCCTTGACATCAAACGTCCTTGACCCAAGCTTTTGTTCCAATGGCATTATTCCACGTAAAAGTCTCATTCATTCCATCATGTCGGAATGGGTGAAACAAGGCCAACTTCTAATTAAACAACACAGCAGCATTGCCATCGGTTCAAGCTCTTCTTTCATGGTAAATTAACATGAAGCTAATTAATAAAATGGTCAAACAATGAATTTTCATATCATGCTTTGATATTTTGGTAAATACATGTACATACTCAAAAAATGTAATATCATGTTGTGATCAATCTTAATCAAATCCAATCAGAATTTGGCTAGGGTAGTGGCTTGTGTTGTGGAGTTGCCTAATTGGCTAACTTATGTCAAATATGTATATTGAGTTGTTGACTATATATAGTTTATGTAGGGCAAGTAAATGGTACAATGTGCACGCTTCCTTCCCATGGATGGCAACATGCAGATGCAACATATATGATGCATTAGAAGCTCAGCCTTAGACATGTTAGGTTAGGTTACCCGGGAGAATGAAACTCATGTAACGCGTGTCACCCGTTTGCTTTCATCCTATTCATATTCTCACATTGTAGGAACCTTATCTTTCAATCAATAACAACCGTATAATATATATTCAAATAAGAAAAGCAAAACATTTAGATGGTCATTATCCTTAAATAATGTGAAGGATTATCATGCAAGCATCAACATGCGTTGCCACCCTCCAAAATTAAA